CTCAGCACCACATAAGCAAAAAGAAAAAAGCCAGAAGTGGCACTGTGGCTCAAGTGGTAGAGCACTAGCCTTGAGCTGAAGAGCTGAGGGACAGTGCCCAAGCCCAGAGTTCAAGCCCCACGACTGGACCAAAAAAAAAAAAAAAGACAGGGACATAGAAATTACAGGTGGTATACACCTGTAATATAAGCAACGAGGTTGAGACAGGTGGATCCTGAATTCAGGGTCAGACTGGGCTAGAGATCTTGTATGAAAAATTTTTTAAAGGAGGAAAAGAAAAAACAAGTTCATAAATGTTAAGTCTATTTGTATTAATATTAATATATTTATACTGCATTTACATTAGTATTAATAATTGTCTCATTGGAGTAGAATGTTGAACTATTTTCTCACAATATATTTGATTTTTTATTATGGAAGCTCTATCATTTAAAAATCCTGTAAGTACTTAGCTGTCAATTAAATGGCAGGGAAAAAATAACCAACTAGATTTAAATTATGATTTTATAATAAAGGACATTAAATGCCTAAAAATCTGTTATGATAAATGATATAAAATACATACTACATTTATACAATAAAGACACTGTTACTAAGGTAAATGGAGCTTTGGCTCAAGTGGTAGCAGATTATCTGCCTATCTGTCTAGCAAGCACAAGACCCTGACTTCAAATTATTACTACCAAAAAAATAAAAAAAATCATATTTAAGCCTAAGGTCATGTCTAAATATATTATGCACTTAGAATAATGTCTAAATATATTATGCACTTAGAATAACTTATAAAGTTCTTCTAAAATATGGATGCTGAAAGAAATATGACTAAATGTAATTTTTCTACTTTGGAAGCAATGTAAAATTATATTATTGAATGAACTTTCAATGAACATTTTCTTTTAGGTGGAGAGAGTACTTATGAATATCCCAATAAAACCACAATGATACTCTATCTTCCACTTTTATAACTCAATCTTGAAATATATGATATGGCTACAAATAGTAGAAACAAGCTGGATGCTGGTGGCTCAGGCCTATAATCCTAACTACTCAAGAAGCTTTTATCAGAGGATCATGGTTCAAAGCCAGCCCAAGCAGGTATATCCATTAGACTCTTAGCCACCAGAAAGCAGGAAGTGGAGCTGTGGCTCAAAGTAGTAGAGCACTAGCTTTGAGCAAACAAGCTCAGAGACAGGCACCCCGGCCAGAGTTCAAGCCACATTACCAATTTTTAAAAAAATAGTGGTAACACTGGTAAAAGAAACAGGAAAGACTTGAAGCACTTAATATGCTTGAACTGAGGTAAAAAGTTAATGTCTGCATATACTAGAATCTAGGCAAATAACAAACAACAACAAATGGGGAAAGTCCTACTTCTGTCCATCGCAAACTCACATTTTTAATTTCTGGATCTTCAATTCTCTAATGCTGGGGCTCAGTGTCCAATGGCTAGTATTTTCAAAATATTTGAGAAGACATTTTAGAGACAGCCCAACTCCCTAATATTTTTTCTTTTTTTCTCTCTGTGTGCTAGGAAGAAGGGGGACTTACAAGAAGGGGATTACAAGTGTGACCCACGGACACTCAGCTTTAATGCTCTAATTTTTAAAGCTGTGAAAACTGAAGGCTATGTATTTACTCATTAATGCTTACTAATCTACGTTGAACAGTATACAAGTAAAATTCTGAATTAGTAAAAATGTTGGAACAAATTAAAGCCACAGGGCAAGACTAAAATTGGTGGTCCAGAAATGAGCTAAAGGCTCAAAAAATAAGGCAGCACACAAGTACAGAACCAGGAAATGGTTAGAAACAATATGGAAAATTTCATGACATTACCTTGAGCAATTTTATACACCCACAACAGGACTAGCTGGTTCCAAGAACAAATGAACATCATTTTTTACTTCCTAGAACTGTTGAAATACTAGATGAGAAAAATCTGAAAGGCTACACCCTAGACTGCAACTGTGTTCTATTCTTTCCAAAGGTTAGCCATTCTTTTTTATTGTCGGTCGTGGGGCCTGAACTCTGGCCCTTAGTTCTTCAGTTTAAGGCTTGAGCCACAGTACCACTTCCAGCTTTGTTTATGTGGTGCTGAGGAATTGAACCCAGGACCTTATGCATGCAAGGCAAGCACTCTACCACTGACCCACCTTTCCAGCCCAAGCATTCTTCATTAGAACAGAAACTTAAATATAACTGTGCAGCAAAGCTTCAAGATGAAAAAGACAATGCAAGCTAATTTGGTTTTGTTAGATTATTTGATTCAGTATAGCTGATAGTATACTTGACTTTTAGTTGATGACTACCTGATCATAGTCTCATTTGAATATCCTACAATTATATATGCACAATATCATGATTTTGATGAAGTTTAATGCTGTGCTGTGTAGTATGACCACTTTACAATGCTTCTGGCAGATTCTTTACCACTTCCCTTAGTATGTGTTATATTTTGACATTTTATTTTTTTAATGATTGATTTTATATCACTTGGCTTG